TCCTCCTGATTCATTATTTTCCTCTGAATACTGTAAATCACAAAATTATTTTTTACCTTGAAGGCAACAACAACCAAAAAAAAGCTCTTCTGTCTAAATCCTTCACTGTTTTAAGAGAGGTTAACTATCTCAAATTATAATCACCTCCAAAAAAATTATAATCACCTCAGACAATGCCAATTTCTTATTGCATGTGAAAGCTGAAGCAGGAGGATCAAAAGTTTGAGGCTAAGCTAGGCAACTTGATAAAACCTTGTCTCAAAAAATAAAACAGGTTGGGGATGTATCTCAGTGATTTGTGACCATTTTTCATAATAGATCAACTTGATTAGATTAAGAACTACCTAGGAGATTTCTGGCTGTGTCAGGGTGGGTTATAGAGGCATCACTTAGGGTAATACATGTTGCCCCTGCTTCCCTTAGAGCTGACAGCATTACCCTGCTCTGCTGCTTGGCCATCAAGAACTGCAAGGCTTTGTATTGCTACGCTCTTCTATCACCATGTTTCCACCTTTCAGGCCTACCATGAGCTGAAACCCCTAAAATTGTGACCCAAATTACACCTCTTATCCTTTAAATTTTGTGTCCTAGTAACAGGAAAACTATTACAATAGTAAAACACTGCTACGCTCAATCCTCAGCACTGCAAAAAACGCAAACCAAATCACACAACAAATGTATACTTTCCTTATTGTTACCTTACATCCGTAGCCCTTTTTATTGAGACAAGGCCTCACTAAATTGTCTAGTCTGACATTGAACTTGCAATCCTCCTGACTCAGCATCCCAAATAGCTGGGGTTATTGGCTTGTAACAATGCATCCCACTTAGTAACTACTTTTTCATCAATACTCATAGTGAATACTTCATTCAGAATATAATCTTGCTCTTTTATGGTAATCTTATCTCATTTTCAGCATCATTTCTTATAATTTCAATGTCAGATGTTAAAACCAACCACTGTGATAACTGTAACACCACAGGAAATAGCCAAAGAGGAGGTATTCCTCTATCAGCAGATGGAAAAAGTAACAAGTTTTTATAATAATTACTATATTTTCTAAGCTGCAGTCAAAAGTAGCCTAAGTAATTTTATCTTTTTCGAAATAAAATATTTCAAAGTGAAAATACTCTCACCTTAGGAATGAGGTGACCTAGTATTCAGTTTCGTTTGAATCCTCATTAATAATTACATGATTAGATACTATCTCCATACCCTGTAATTCTGCTCTGGATACTTCCCTCTTCTAGGTACCTTCCCATTCTGTTGATATAATAAATGAACTCCTTTAACATGCAGATGTACACCGGGATATCTACTAAGACAAGGAAGTAAAGACAGAAAGCAATTCTTTTAATTACCCTTAAGGCTTAAAGCCACTTTACATCCAGTCACCATACCATTATCATACCCATTTACCAGGAAACAGAGACTTGCCAAACAGCACATTACTAGTAGTACAAATAGGTCTCCTGAGAAAATGTGCTGCTCTGCCCTAAAACTTCTGCCTCCCACCGTGATTAAACTCCACACCCAAAGAAGTGATTTTACAGAACACAAGGAAGAAAACATTTCATAGACCAACACATGAACACTAATGATATAATGCAAGCAACATAACTGTATTCACTACTTGAGAAAAAATTTTTTGTCTTCTATGATACAATTCACACAATGCCAAAATCATTCTTTAAAAGCATCTAGACAGAAGGTACAGAAGATATTTCCTTTTCTCCCTAGAGCTTTTGTCCCTAGCGCTTTACCTTACACAGTGAAGCACTTAACTAATGGACACTTACCAGCACATTACAACTATTTGAGGCACAGTCCAATAACAGAAATTAGAAACAGCCACCACTAATAGCGAGGCACTTTTCATGTAAAGCTCCATGTCAGATCAAGTTACTCTTGCTTTAGACCAACAGATTTCAAACATGCCATTTCTCAGTGTGCCCCATCATAAAACACTTTCTAACTTCTTTACCATTCTGAAATGAGAAAGTCTTCCTACTAGTTCTCAAACAAATTCATCTAAAATATAAATGCAAAAGAAAAATGAAAATAAATTTTAGTAAGAGCAGTTTTTACTATGTGAAAGCTGGAGTAAAATGGGCACAATAATTAGTAGACAAACATGGTAACTCTGAATACGAATCCTGGTCAAGTCATGAACAAAACAAACCTCCCAATAATTTATCCAATAGTGTCACATGGAAACAAATACAGGCAAAGTAGGTCTCAGTGAAAACCATAACTTTATATACATGTAAAATGGATGTTGAGGTTCACATGATTACACCATAAGAATATTCCTAATTCCTGAAGCATATGGGCACATTCTTTTGTTTAAAACTGTCCCACATATTACGAAAACTAAACTATCCTTGGCCCCCAATTAGCAAATACTAGTGGTTAGTTCGAAGAATCAAAACCAAAAAATGATCCCTAATTTTTTCCTGGAGGACAACCCTCTCAGGATCCAGGGCCTTAGACACAATTCAACTAGCTATCACAGTACTATAATGAAACACGGATTAGAGTTCCAGTTCTGTCACTTTTAAGCTACATGATCATTGGCCAGTGAGTTAACGTCTCCAAACCTCAGTATTCATGGTACCAAAGGTGAATAAAAACCACTGGGCTTTGTGGAGTATCAGGATGTAGCAACATGTGTGTAGCCTACCTTACTTAGCTTAGGTGGTTGCCAATTCAGGGCCTATTGATATGGGAAGAGAACATTTTCAGGTAAAAAGAATGAAAACAGTAAAAAGTAATGCTAATAAATGTTAAGAAGCAGGTACTTCTTTTTTTTTTTTTTTTTCCATTTTCTTTTTTGTCTTTTTCGTTTTTATCGGTACCAGGGATCGAACTCACGACTACCTGCTTGCAAGGCAGGTGCTTATGCCGCTGAGCTAAATCCCCAGCCCCGAGGCAGGTACTTCTAATAAGCACACAAAATTAAATTTAACACACAATAATCCAGAACATTTCAGAGAACAGCCACTGCTTACACCTATCTCAACAATCCCTGAAAGTGTTAATGTATTACAACTCAGTGAAATTATTTTCAGGATGATGACTCCCCAAGTAAGAAAGCTAGAGAGACATTTCTAAAAGAATTCCACTACTACATGGCTGAAATTTTCATGTATGATATTCAAGAGAATGACTATACTTTTACTGGGCTACATACTAGTAAAAGAGAGACATCCAATACACCATTGCTGTCCTCAAACATGCTACCACTCAGCAGATTGGACATGAGTGTAAGCAAAATGATACTGGTCCAGAAACTTTAAGTAGCAAGTCATGGAGGCCCAGGGAAAATTAAAAAAAAAAAAAAAATCAAGAACATCTTCATGTCAGAGGAGACTGAACAAGCACTTTAAGGTAGAGAATGAGGAATAAAGCATTAATAGGAAAATGGAATTCAGACAGTGGCACTGAGCACATAAATACAAAGGATACACTAGGAGTAAAGGATGAAGTCATTAAAAATGCTGTAAAGGCATTTCAAGATCTGTTTATGGAGGGATCTGAATCATACTAAAATATTTTCTTACTGGGTCAGAGTTCTCCAGAAAACTTGCTTACATGGCACACGTGACCCCCAAATTATATGTGAACTGTAACTGAGACTCCTTAAATTCAAAGGTAATTCTTGCTGTGCACGGTGGTTTATGACTAACCCTAGCAATCTGGGAGACTGAGGCAGGAAGACCGTAAATAAGCGAGGCCCTGGCTCAAAGACAAAAAGAAGGGCTTAGAGACGAAACGCGGTGTGCAAGCACTGGACTCAATCCCTAGAACTGCATAAAAATATACATATACATGTAGATATACATTCTTTTTTTTTTAGATATGCATTCTTAACACGAATAACCTAAAACAATTTAAGCCAAGAGCAGAAAGCAGTTTCTGAGCTCTTTTTTTTTTTTTTTTTTTTTGGTCTTTTTTTCATTTTTATCGGTACCGGGGATTGAACTCACAACTGCCTACTTGCAAGGCAGGTACTTATGCCGCTGAGCTAAATCACCAGCCCCTTAAGCTCATTTCTTAAATAATTAAAACATTACTTATAAACTTGAAAACTGAAAACAAGTCAGAATAATCTATGTGGGCCTTGATTTTACTCCAAGCAAGTAGGAGCACTTCCTAAATATGACCTTAAACATGTTCTTTACCAGTCCTCCACCTCACTCCTAAGAGGCAAAGTAGGCTACAGTATTAGCCTCTTTTTATTATGTGCAAATGGAGGAACAAAAAGAATTACAGTCTGCCACAAAATAAGGTATTATAGTTTGCAGTACGTTAAAGGCCTCAAATTCACATTTCATCCTTTATTCTCACCATCTGAATACAAGAATACATTTTAATATTGTCTGGGACGGTGGACTAAAATTTAATGTTCCCCAAAATTGAAGTTTTAAAATTTTGCTTTTTAAATATTCTGCATAAGTTGAAAGGTGTAAACAGCAAGTCAAACTCAAAAAAAAAAAAGAGACTTGTAAATTGCAAGACAGGTCAGGAACCCTACTTTGGACTTTTTACTTTGAATCTCTGGAAGGCTCAGAGAAATACCGGAAATTTATGTCTGTAAAACAAGATCTGCAGATTCTGGGATACAAAAGTGCCCTAAAGCCCAGAAGCAGTAGTATCTCTTCACACTCACTGCTGCAAATGTGAAACCTAATGCTCTCCTCAGTTCCTCCCTGCATTGCACCACGAGGCCTGTTCAAGCCTTCCCTGCGTTTCCCTTTCCCTTAAAAAGCAGTATAGTGAGGATGCCCTTGGTGCTGGGCCTCTGTAAACAGTGAAGCGACCGGATGTGGCCAAGCACTTTTCTAAACCTTGGCTCTCCACGTGCAGGCCCGGATCCGGGATCAGACACAGGGTTTCCTGCTCATGTTTTATTTTTTGCACATACTCTTGACTACCTCGACCCCACGTCCCCGTCCTCAGCCTCACACCCCTTCTCGCCGTCAGGCGGGTGCCCCAAGGTCCTGGGAGGCGGGAGAAGATGGTTTGCAGACTTCCTCACAGTCGCAGGGGCAAGGCCGACCCGCACCCGCCAGGGTCCCGCGAGTCCAGCCCCCGGCCCGGCCGTCCCGCCGCCGCCGCCGCCTATCAGCGGAGCGAGGGGCGGGGCCGGCCGGCTCTAGGCGGCTGAGCCGGCGGGCGGGGACGCGCGGGGGGCCGACCGCCGCGCAGCTCAGGCCGCGGCGCGCAGACACCGGGCCCGGCTGCGGAGGGCGCGGCGCGGCCCCGGGGAGCGCGAGGAGCCGACGGCGCGCGGCCTGCCGTTGGCGGCCTGCTCTGCGCTCTCGGCGACCATCCGCCCCGGACTCGGGGCCCCCGCCCGCGGGAAGATGGTGTACTGGATCATCTCCCGAGCCGTCGTGTGAGTGCGGCTCCCGGCGCCCGCGGCCCGCGCGAGGCTAGGGAGGGTCGGGGGAGGGCCCCGGAGGAGAGGGAAGGCCCGGACTCGGGCCTGGGCGACGACTGGGGCCCGACCTCGGGCCCGTCCGGACGCTGGGGGCCCTCGGCCTCCTCACCCTGGTCCACGGCGCTCGGTGCTCCCTGCGGCGCTCCCTGCGGCGGGCGAGAGCCCGGCAGTGGCGGCGGCGGCGGCGGCGGCGGCGGCGGCCTGGCGCAGCTGCGTGCGGCTGGGCGCCCCTGCTCCGGCGGCGCTGGTGGGCAGGCGCGCAGGGCGGGCGGCGCGCGCTCCCTGCTCCCGTTCCCCGCGCTGCGCGGCACCGCCCTGCGACCCAGGAGCGGCGCGCCTCGAGGCGGCGCCCTACGCAATCTCCGCAGACGCCGCGCTGGTGGCTCCGCGGTCCTGACGGTGCGCGGCGGCGGCGGCGGCGGTGGCGGCAACGGCAGTGGCAGTACCGAGCCTTTGTATCCCGCGGCTGCTGCGGTGCGGTGGCTCTCGCGGCGACTATGGTGTTCGGTCACGTGTGATAGGAGGAGAGATTAGTCTAAAATCCTGAGACCGCTCCCAACCCGGGATCCCTGGGAAGGGTCCCAGTTGTCCCGAGATTTACGACTTTCCAAGGAAAGTCTGTTATTGAAAGGTGACACCGTCTGCTCGCCTGGGTACCCGAATTTGGCCCCGACTTCCGCCCCGGCGGAAATAATTTGTTAAGTGATCGAGAGGCTGCAGGTGCCTGTTGCTTTTGTTCGAATTATTGGTTTATTTTACTGTACTCTTCACAAGCAAGAGTTGCAGGTCTGTTAAGAAAAACCGGTCGAGTTGTAATGTTTGCTCAGAATTGATGTTTTTAAATATAGCTTAATCTCAGTTTCTCCCATCCTCTCCATCTTACTCCTCCTAGTCCCCCCCCCCAAAAAACCAAAAAGGTCACAACAATGACGTCTTATAGTCTGTGGCCAGTGGATTCGTTAATCATGATTTCTATAGGTGTCATGTTATCTCACTACTTTTATGAAATTTTGATTTGCATAAAGGACAAGAACTAAATTTTTTGAGTTTTGTCTTGCTTGGATTACTAGTAGCCCTGTTTAGCCTGGGTTACAATATTTCAAAATAAGTCTTCTAAGCCGGGAATTTAGCTCAGGGTCGTAAATGCCTGCCAGATAAGCTCAAGGTCGTGAGTTCTATCCCCAGTGCAAGCGAAAAAAATTGTCTTTCAACCAAACTTTTCTAATTTAAAAGCTTCCTCTCCCCTCCCTCAAAAAATTAAATAAATAAACAAAATTATGCCAGCAGCTGCTTTCACATTGAGTCTTTTCCTGGGCCCATCTTTAAGTCTTTTATGTAGATAATCTTGATTTAGTAGATGTCTGTCAACTCCTCTCTGTTCCTATACTATTAAGTTCCCCATTATGAAGAGGTACCTTTTTTTTTTTTAAACTGTCTAGGTTGCCTCGGCCAATTCTGTTGACAGAAAATTGAGGAGGACTTTGACAGCATTTGCATTACTCAGCTCAAATTTTTTTTTGATCTAGGAATATGACTGTCTCTTTTAGTGCTACTTGTATTAAAAGGTCAATAACATGTGCTTGATCTTAGTGGAACTGACAGTTCAAGTATACAAATCTGCCATACAGATCAGAATGTAAGCCTTGTAAAAGTTGCACCCAGTGTAACAACCAGTGTTACACAAGAAAGGGATTATATCTCGTAGAATCATCAAAGAAGGCAGGAGAGATTACATTTGAAGGCCAGACTTAAAGAATGAACCTAATCTAAATAGCCAAAGAGGAAAAAGGGAAGGATTTTTTCTGACAGAAGGATAATTAAGCCATAGTTCAAAGGAGGAAGAGCTCAAGTTAGTTACAGTGGAACTAGAGAGAGAGCTGAAAAGGAAGTCTGGGTGGCTTTTCAGGGAGAAAGAGATGAAGGCACCAACACCTTTGCTTTGGAAGATAATCAGCTGTACTATAAAATAGTTGGCAATGGAGAGATCCCTGTAAACAGACCACTTAGGAGACATCCTACCTGGAGAGAAGAAATTTAAACCTATAGTGGTAGAGCCTATAGAATTTTAAGGTCCAAGGCAAATGAAAGGTAGCAAAATGTAAGGAAGAAAAAAAAAACAGGTCATGGAAAAAAATGTATACATCAAGTGTCAGGAGTATCTTTCAGGAGTCATTGAATCATTAGCACGTTAGAAGGCACATTTGTCAGAGAACATGAGCAGCCGTATGTTTTTCCCCTTTGTTCATTGGTTGCTCCATCTCTAATCATAAAAACAAACTCGGGATCTACACAGACCTAGACACCAGGAAATAGAATTTACTTACACGCTGAAACACCCCGCAGACCCTGAGCACGATGACACAGTTCTCTCAACCTGAACTTCCACTGGCAAGAGCAAGAGACACTAGGAACCTCCATAACCAGAGCTCCCAGCTTGTGTGAGAACATTTTCTCCAAATCTTGGAACATGCACACTGGGAACATAAGCACTGGCTTTAAAATCAGAGCTGAATTCAAATATCACTCCTACCATTTATTTGCCATAACCTAAGATTAAATGCATTTTTTTTCTTTTTTTTTGGGGGGGGGGCGGGAACTGGGAATCAAACACAGAACCTTGCATTTGCCAAGCAGGCTCCATGCCACTGAACTATATCCCTGGCTCTTTAGTTGCATTCTTAAGCATAAAGTAATAGTTCAGCATTTGGCACAAACATAGGTATTTAACAAGTGCTACTAGTTGCTGTGCTTCCTTAAAATCCTAACATATTGCATATTTAAACTATTTCCAATGTTCTTTTTTTTTTTTTCTTTGCATCTCTGTGTTTAAGCATTTTTTTTTTTTTAACTGAATCTTACTATATAGTTGAGACTAGCCTCAAACTCACAGTGATCTTACTGCCCCAGCCTCTAGAGTGCTGGGATTTTCCTGTGAAATCTTTTCTACTGACTTTTGTTTAATCAGACCATATTCTTAATTTTCCTAGCAAATTTGATTTTGCTCTTATTTCTAATATTCTAATTGTCATAAATAATGTTATAATGTACATTATTTACATATACTTCTTTGTAAGCATTTCTTTAGGATAAATGAACAAGAAGAGTATTTCTGAGTCAAATGCTAAATATTCTTATGACCTTTGCCAAAGGGAACTGCCAAGTTGTTTTCCAAATGGATTTTAATATCATAAATTGTCACTAGCAGTGTATGAAAACTTTATCACAATGTAACTATAGTACTTTCCTAATAACATCTCATTTTTTCTTTGCACTTTCTTAATAGCAAGGTTGAATAACTGTCATATGCACTTATTTATATATCGTTTATTGTGCAGTTGGTATGTGTTTGCTCGCTTGTTTCTTGGTTAGTTGATAATTTATTTTGTCTAAGCCCCTTACATAATAGAAACCCTATATTTGAGCAAACCTGTCTAATTTTACTTCTTAGATATTTTAGTTTTGGTTATATAGTTTAAAGTTTTAATAACTTCATATTTTTTATTGTATTTTCTTGTGTAGATCCTGATTTAATAACTTCATACTTTTTGATTTCTTTTTTTTTTTTGTCTTTTTCTTTTTTATCGGTAACTTTTTGATTTCTTGATTACTTCTAAATCTAAAATTATTTACCTCAGATATTTGGTAAGTACTGTATTACTTTCTTATATACAGTTGAGCCAATTTGGAAACTTGTGTTTTAATTCTGTACGTCTGTATTTCTCTTTTGATATCAACTACATACTTTTTTGTTTTGCTTTAATACTAGTAAAAACTTCAGTTCCTCTTCATTTATATTTAATGGCTATAACTTTAAAGGCTAAATTACACTTCTTAAAAATTCACTTCCAGAAGCTTCCACCGTCTTTCCAGATCTTATTGCCTTCTCTAGATCCTTGTCAGTGTGCCAGTGTTACATCTCACCTCTTTAAAAAACCACAACCAAATAAACTTTTAGCTTAGTATACTCTTCATCTTACCACTCATTTCTGTGTCTTTCATGCAAAATTACTCAAGCAAAATTAACTGTATGGGCCAGGGATTTAGCTCAGTGGTACAAGCACCTGCCTGGCAAGCACAAGGTCATGAGTTCCATCCCTGGTACCAAAAAAATCAACTGTATATACTGTCTCTACTTTCTCTCCATTTAAACACTCTTCAGGTCCATACCTTGTTTATTGTTTGGGTCTTGCCACTTTCCACTCTACTGAAATTACTTCAACAATAATCTCCATTTGGCTAAATCATTCGGGCTTCATCTTATTAATAAGCAGCTTTTCTCAGAGTTGGTCATTCTATCCTTGCTTTCTTCGCTTGGTTTCCAAGAAATTTTGCTGGTTTTTTGTTTTGTTTTCTTCTTCAAAACTGACAGGCCACTCCTTTCTCAGTCTCCCATATACATTCTTCCTCATTCTCTGGTTGGTTCAAGGGTTGCCCTTAATTCCTATCTCCAACACAGACCTCTCTGCTGGATTCTATGATCATATTTTCAGCTGCCTTCTTCCCTCAATTGGAAACATCCTAAACACATCTTGAACTTAAGATATCCAAAACTGGAACTCCTGAATTTCCTTCCCAATCCAGCTCCTCCAGCAGACTTCCCCAACTCTACTAATGACTCTGGCCTTCCAGCAATTCAGGCCAAAAATTAGAATTGTATCATCATTGATTTTTTTCTCTTTATCTAATTGCCAGCATTGAATACTACAATAACATATGTAAGCTCTACTTTCAAAATAAATCCAGTGTTCACAGTGTTTACATAGTCACACTACCCAAACCAGTGTCCTATCTGAGATACATTATTGCAACAGCACAGCATCCTATTTCTATCTTTGTACCCTTAAAGTTCATTAGGAGCAGCCTATATGATCCTGTTGAAATACAAGCCAAATTATATTTCTCCTCTGTTCAGAATCCTCAGATGACTTCCTCCCTCACTCAGTAAAGCAAAGTCTTTCCTTCCCAAGAGCTGAAAATGGCACTCCACCTCTCAAACCTCATCTTCATCTGCCCTCTGCCCTCCTGTCTTCCTTCTAGCGGTAGTAGACTCTTATCTCCTCCAGTTGGCATCTTGCTGACACACTGGGCATATGCCAGGCCCATTTCAGTGCGTGCCTTTCCCACCGGTTGGCTGTTGGCTCGTATCCTCCCTTCTTTCAGGTATCAGTTTATCAGTCAGAGGCCTTCCCTGAGCCCAGCACTGACCAATTCCACTCCCTGAGTGTTGTCTGTAGCACCTGGTACTTG